TTTCAACACATCTTACGTAAATTAAAAGTTTAATAATTTGGTGCTTTCTTGATTATTATTACTGACAGTTTATTTTAAATCATTAAAATAATATTTTGTTGATCCAAAAAAGGCAAAAAAAGCCATGTCACATTCAGTGTAATAATAAAAATTAGATATATAAATATAGTATATTATGTACCAACAGACTAAACTTTCACTTTCAATCTCGCCTTTTGTCGTAAAAGACTTTTAAATTTTTACCAGTGACGTCCGTGCCGGGTTTGAACTGAATATTTTTGAAAAAAAAATATGGTGCGCCACTGCTTTTTCTAAAAACCAAAATTATCTTTAAAATTCTAATATATTTTGGAACAAATTTGTTTTATGACGTACTTTCGCACGAAGCACCCTTTTCGGGTAAGATAATGAAAACCAGTATATTGAAACTGCTTTTGATATTTTGTTGAAATTTGGTAGGAACCCACCATGAGTGGAAACACTTTTTTTGGGAAAAATTTCATAAAAATATCTAGAGTGATAAGAAACTTATGATAAAATAGTTATTTTTTTTTTTCTTAAAACTTTAACACTCAAAGGATTCACACCCTTAAGTATCGGCACTCAATAAATAAATACCCTGTATTAATTGATATTACCTTATTCGAACCAATCGTCTATTTTTTCGTTATTTGTATTTATATTTCACACCTCTATACTCTTAAATGTTGAATAGAGTATAGAAGAGTAGGCGAGTACTCTCTCTATGAATGATGAGAGCAGCGTTTCCAGACGTACGAAAATGATCGTATTTGTCGATATACGTTAAAGTTAAAAATTGCCTAGTTTTTGGGTATTTTTATTTTCCAATTTACGAGCTAGACTGAATTTCTATTGCATACACACGTTAAATAAATGTTTTAGTAATATATTATTACATACGCATAATTGAAAATATTTTTATTTACAGGGTGATTCACAAATGTGTGTCGGTAGTTTTTTTTACAAAATCTCACTAATTCTACTTTGATGCCAGAGAAGCATATTTTCAAAAAATACTACTCAATATGTTATTTTGATATATTGCACAGTACACATTTATTATACAGGGTGTTTTGTAGTGGGAACCACATAAAATTATTTGTTAAGGACTAATGCATAACCCTGTATTGATTTTTGGGAAAGGTAATACTACTAAAATATATCTACCTCTAAGCTTCAAAATATACAAGGCAGCTTATTTGTTGGAAGGTATTTTACTTTAATAAAAGTACAAAAACACCATGAACACCTTGTATTCTAAAATTTCCAAAGACATTCAATTTATGATAATTTTAACACCGTTTTAAGGGATATAATTTTAAATCCTATATTATCACCAGTTTTCGAGATACAGGGCATTAACGTAGAGAATTACTGATTTTATTAATTTTTTCTTCCAACGGAAAAGCTAGATTGTCTTTATGTAGAATATACATTACCGTCTCGATGATGGTGGGTGAGGTTTTCCTCACCTGTAAGTCAAATGGCACCATCAATCATCTTTAAGTCGCCCCGGAGCGCCACGGCAAATAATAATAATAGCCGTCCCTTTTCCCGCACAAGCTCAGCTTTTGGGGTTAAAATTCACTCGTAAGGGGGTGAATTAGGGAGAGTATTATTATTATTATTATATGTTTAATATAAATTTTTTGTGAATGTACATTCCGTTTAAAAAATTTGTTACAAGGTGATTCACGAATAAATCAATACATTTTTGCAAACACTCAATATCTCTACAGTTGCGCCACAAAGAAATTATTTCGAGTTAATATCTACCAGTTCACAAAATGTTTTGAACTTATTAAAAAGAGGCCTTACATTTCTTTAGTGACTTTTGAGTAAGTTAATAACGGTACATTAGATTTTAAAATATATAGGGTAAACTGTTTTATATAATTACCTACAAAATATATCAGTATATATACATCATTTTCCGATATTTGTGACCAGTTTTTGTACTCGGTACAATAAAGTTGCAAAAATATAGTGTGATTTATTCGTGAATCACCCTGTAACAGTAAATATTTTAAACTCTCTTTTTATGGACATCTGACCAAAACTTATATATGCTACATAAAGTCAATTTAGCTTTCCAGTTTCAAGAAAAATTACTAAAATTAGCAATTCTCCACTTTAACGACCTACGCGCCCTTCTGTTATCGAAAATTTTATTCACGAGGAACTGTTCGAAATCGTATCAGGATAACGGAAGGTATTGTCAAAAAGGCGGGACAATATTTAAATCGTTAAACATTTTTACTTTCCTATCTGTATACAGATATAAGGAAAGTATAGGAATCATGATTTTTTTCGACCTCGAGTTTTCGACGGATTTTTACGTTTTGAGGTCCCTGAATCCGTTTTGACTATTTTCGCGATGATGTCTGTGTGTGTGTGTCTGTGTAACGCATAACTCATGAACCGATACACGGAAAAACACCAAATTTTAAACTTAAGCTTTATTCCAGCGTCTAATGAGCTGATTAGATTTTGGGCAGAGTCGGAACATCTGGGGGGGTACTTTATAGGTGGTCATTTTTATATTTTATGGAATATATCTGTTATTTACGTTTGGGGAAGAAAATTTTTTAAATAAAAGTTACTTCTTATTTTATTATCTATAATTTTTGTCATTTACAAAATTTTCCTAAAATGGTCCGTATTCGAGAAATTTGACAAAATGTAAAAAAATATTTTTTTTTTATAAAAATTGTTCAAACAAAAGTTGTTTGTAATATAATTCTCTATAATTTTTGTCCCATAGATAATTTCTCTAAAATGGACCGTATTCGAGATATTTGAGAAAATGTGTAAATTTCGAAATTTGAAGAAAACTCAAAAACGGATAAAGAAAAAATCAATAAATTTTAAACTTAAGTTTTATTTCGGCCTGACGTGAAATGATTAGATTTTGGACAAAGTCGGAACATCTGGGGGGTACTTTATGGGAGGCCGTTTATATATTTTATGGAATATATGTTATTTATGTTTGGAGAAGAAAATTGTTCAAATAAAAGTTACTTCTAATATTATTATCTATAATTTTTGCCTTATGTAAAAATTTCCTGAAATGGTCCGTATTCGAGAAATTTGACAAAATGTGCAAAATTCTGATTTTTATGAAAATTGTTGAAATAAAAGTTGTTTGCGATATCGATCTCTATAATATTTGTTCATACATGATTTTTTTTAAATGGACCGTAATGGAAAAATTGTAGGAAAAGTGCTAAATTTAAATTTTTCAGTATTTTCATTTTCAATGAATATCTATAGAAAAATGTTTCGCGGTAGATGTATGTGGACAATGTATATATATTTAGTTTATCCTCTAAACATTTATAGAGATGCTGCAATAGGTTGTACACAATAAATGGAAAAAGCCTGTAATAACTAGATAGGAAAGTCATGTGTTGGACACATCAGATTTTTATTTATGTTCTTATCATGATGAAAATGTGTATGTATATAAATAAAAGCACAATAAAATACGCGGCGAGTCCGTTACTTTCTATCTATAAAATTTTAATTATTTTTATAATTTTCTTAATTACTAATGGTTAAATTATTCTCTTAATTCACATAATTATAGAGCCGGGCGGATAGATTAGAGTTGTCTCTGCCACTCCTCCCTATCTTGGGAAGTGTAGAAGTTATTAAAGTTAAAATACTTACAATCCATTGGTTTTGTATTTTACAGGTAATACCAGTGCGTAATTATGGTTGCGCCTATTTTATTTACAAAAACCATCTATTAGTGAATAACTTAAATAATTGAAGACCTTGGCGTAATAAGGTTACATGACATATTGTAAGTTTTAAATATGTAAAATACAAGTAAAAAATAGTGTCTCTAATCTGAAAAAGAGGTAAAATAATTTGTATGCGACTCCTATCCTTGTTAATTTATGTTTTGATCTAAAACAGTCACTTACTTCATGACAAATTATGAATGAATGAATGAATCCGTTTATTTAGCCATTGCTATTATATACAATTATTTTTTTTGTTATCTTACATACTATACACAATTGTTTAATTTGATTCTCTAAGATATTTACATAATTTTTTGTTAAACAAATTCAAATTGCTAGTCTTTTATTTCTTTTGGCAGATTATTAAAAAGATGTATTCCATTAATTAGCAACGATCCCATTAAGAAAGTTTTATTTGAAAAATTTATGTTGAAATTTTCATCGGATCTTAAATGTCGAGAATGTGTTTCCGCGTAACTAGTAACTCACTTAGATATTTCGGTGTTAATTGATGCATCATTTTATAGATTACAACGAGGGTTGTCTTTTTAATATTCTGTTCAATAGAAAGCCAATTTAGGGTTTGTAGCATAATTTTGATTGGGAGTGTAAATATTACATTTTAGAACAACTCATACATTTGTTTTGGAGTACCTGAAATCTGCTTACTTGTTCTTTATTACATGAAAGTAAAAGTGACATACAAAAGTTAAAGTGTGGATATACAATTGTGTTATAAACAAGATTTCTACTCCATTGAGACAAATTTGAAGCTATTCTTCTAAAGAACCCTATTTTCTTCCCTAATTTCCTACATAAGTAGTCTGCATGACTGTTGAAAGTCAATTGAGGATCTAAAATAACTCCTAGGTATTTAATCGTATATACTTGTTCGATGGCTTGCGTCCTTTTTACACCAAGGGCTTCAATTAGCTATTCGCTAATAGATTGCTTTGTAAAATTGGTTTCCATTTCTGATTTCTTTATAAATTTTAATATCCAAATCATACCAAATTATGTAATAAATTACTTAGAAATTGTATATTTGAATAATGAAAAAGTTGGTAACAAATGGAAATTTATTAGTTTAATTTTTCCATGTGGCTGAAATGTTTTAAGAGGAAGATCAGAGGACCTAACATTCAGTTATTTTTTTTTAATGTATGATTTAAGTTTTGTGATAGTAATTGTAAATACTCTGGCATCAAAAGAGAAAGTAAAAGACTTGGAAAATACTAAATTTTATTCACAGGTCGTACACATAAAAAAGTGAATACAAAATCAAAATTTTTATTTTTCAGTTCACATTTTATCATTCATAGAAAATTTACACATTACTTTCATTTATATCAATTCACATCAACTTTTATAAATGTTTTGTAAATACAGAGAAACCTCTTTACTTAATGGAAAGTCATTCAAATAATTATTATAAGTTCTGTGTACATTAAATAAACTTCTTTTAACGGCGGTTGTAACTGCTCCTTTCATTCTGCAGTTAAAATCATCATAACCAGCTATTTTCCTGGTCAAAGCAGGCACTTTATTTAAGTTATCCAAATTTTGTTTCAGTTGTACTAAAGTGGTAATCAATACTGGTATGTCTTTTTGAATGATGCCAAATGTATCTTCTGAAATTGCTGTACATACCAGATCCGTAATTCCTTGACTGGTCCAAACAATGATAAGCCCATTTGCTAAACATTTCTGAATATTAGCCTCTGGAAGTTCGCCAAATAAAAAATCTATACCCAAAATCACTTTTGTTAATGATATGAAATTAAATATGTTTTGTTTGATTTTAGTAAATATTGTATCTGGTAAACTGATACCTGGTAAGGTTGAATGGGTTACATCAACAATGTCAACCATACCACTATCAGACATTAGAGACATATTTCTGAAATTTCTAAACTTATTGGGCGACTGTATAGGACTCTGTAGAGGTGGACATACAACAGGTTTAACAATTTTTTCTGCTGTCTCTGTAGATTTATTCAGAAGCTCTATATATTCTTTAAATACTTTTAAAACATTTTCAACCAAAGCATTCCAATTATGAGGATGACCTCCAGGTTGTGATAGACAATAAAACAGCTGCCTTCTTGGTTTTGACCATTGAGCAAGATTATACAAATCCAGACAAGCTAAATTTTGAACTATTGGCAAGTCTGACATTGTAATACTTTCTTGAAGGTTTAATAAATCTGGTGATAGCTTGCATAAAGGAAATTCCACTGGTTCTGTCAAAAATACATTAAAAAAGAACTTCATAAGATTCATATTGAAATAATAGAGAGCACCAAAACTCCACAGGTAAATATTAATAAAAACCCCATAGGTTTTATCATCTGGCAGTAATCCCAACATGTTTCGAAAGTTAGTACTTAAATCTTTACCCCACACAAAATAAATTACAATAAAGTAAATTGTAGGCCAAATTGATAAAATAAAACTATCTTTAAGTAATGGAAACAGATTTGCTTTGAGTTGTAACCACTTGCGTTGTTGAATCACTGGAAATGAAAGATGTTTTTCAGATATATACACTTTGATGAAATAATAAAACCCAGTCCAAAATCCACTTAATATCAAGTAGAATGTTCCTTCATTCAAAACATATGCGTTTCCTCTGACTGAACGTAGTGTCAGCTCTTGAAAATCACCTCCCCCGAGTGAAAGAAACAGCCAAATCAACATTGGCCCTACAAGTACATGTAACAGTAACAGAACTAAATTGTGCATGGAAAATGCAGATATAAACTTTTGAAAGCGTGTTGAACAATAACTAGATTTAAACACATAGTCTTTGGCACAAATTACACTTTGAGCAAATATGACCGTTAAAAATGGTATAATAAATAACCATACGCTCAGAGATGCAAAAGTTCTTAATGTCACTAAAACCCAATCTATTGGATGCAGAAGATTAAAGTTCGATAAAAACACATATATCTGCAGTAAAACTAATTGTGAAAGAACACTAGACACTACCGAATAGTATAATTTTCTAAGAAGCAGGTCCTTATAAGTAAAAGCCGATGTGGTAGTGAGGTTAGTATTCATATTGTTGTATTTGCACAAGAAACCGGATAATGTATTTCTTATTCTACTATTACAAATTAGTTTTTTGATTCATTTTTCATTTTAGCCGTTATCACAAGTTATTCTTGTTCGTGATTTTAAAAATATCAGCTGTCAATTCTGTATTCTGTCAGTCGTCATGCCATTAGTACCAAAATAAACTTTTAGTAAAACCAGAGACAACTAAAACCCTAGTATTTTCCTTCTGTGATTTTCGTTTTTATAGGTTAAAAATATAAAATATGTGAAGTCATAATTTGTATACTGGAGTATTATTGCTATTATTTGAATTAAAAATACAGTATTCTGAAGTAATTCTATATAAAAATGAGTGCCTTATCGTTTGGTGAAATAGTAGAACCAAGCACGAGAGCCCTAATTGATGAAGATTTAGAAGAATATCCAGAATATTTGAAGTATAAACAATATACAATATTATTTAATAAATGTTATATACCCCTTTATTTTTTAGTATTACTCCAGAATGGGAAGGTAACTTCACAGTACCAAATGAAATAAACTCTTTGATTTTTCTAGAATCTAGAATTGTTAAAGATTTAATTTATAGTTGTGTACTGGTACAAGAAAAGTCTCTTTGCAAACTTATGAATGGTGGACTTGAGATTTTTGCATTACCAAATAATCAATTTATAGTCTTATACAGTGAAGGAAATGGATTAAATACCGGACAAGTAGGTTATTTACTCACCATTTTAGAATTAAATATACAAATCAATTTATGGAGAATAAAAAAAGAAATATTGATATCCATCCCATGAAGGTTAAATACTAACTGGGGCCCGGGTGGACTACATGCTTAAAATTGCACAAAACTATTCTTTAAATTACCAGTATATAAAAAGCAGTATTATTAAGGTTTTAGTATTAGGTATTGGTCAAAAACTATATAATACCCTAATAACTAACACTAACTTGCTACATATTATTTGAACATTTTTTACAAATTATCTCTGATTTTGAAAGTACTAGGCAAACAAAATGATTAGACAACACATGTTTTCTAGATTTAATGTCTTGTCCCCATGACACATATAGCAGCCGCCACCTGGTAATATTTTGTTGTTATATCCCAGGGATAAAGAGAACCTGAGATATAAAACTACAGTTTAGGCACGTTTACAAAAATGTTTTGAACAAGTCATATAAAATAAATGCTAAATTTATAGTGTTTATTATCCCTAAGATATTTACAAAAATGTCTTGTATAAGTAATAAGGCATAAATGCTAAATATTATAAGACTAATAATAAAACTATTCCCAAAAATAAATAGTTCCTATCAACACACAGATGCTTTGTTTCAAAGATGCAGGGTGTTTCAATTTTACAATCAGCAAAAAAAAATTAGAGGGAAATTTGAAAAACAATCAACAGTATCAAAAACTATAACACGTCAATAAAGATACTAAATTTTTTTAAGGTTTTATTTTGAAACTTGATATTTAACAGTTTGATAAAATTGCAGCTCCTAAATGAAGTTAAAATTAAACTGTGTTTTTTATTAAAATAATTTAAATATCTGATTGTGATATTAAAAATCTGATGTGTCCAACACATGACTTTCCTATCTAGTTATTATAGGCTTTTTCCGGTTATTTTGTACAACCTATTGCAGCATCTCTATAAATGTTTAGAGGATAAACTAAATATATACATTGTCCACATACATCTACCTCGAAACATTTTTCTATAGATATTCATTGAAAACGAAAATACTGAAAAATTTTAATTTAGCACTTTTCCATTACGGTCCATTTCAGAAAAATCATGTATAAACAAAAATTATAGAGATCGATATCTCAAACAACTTTTAGTTCAACAATTTTCATAAAATTCAGAATTTTGCACATTTTGTCAAATTTCTCGAATACGGACCATTTCAGGAAATTTTGACATAAAACAAAAATTATAGATAATAATATTAGAAGTAACTTTTATTTGAACAATTTTCTTCTCCAAACATAAATAACAGATATTTTCCATAAAATATAAAAACGGCCTCCCATAAAGTACCCCCCCAGATGTTCCGACTTTGTCCAAAATCTAATCATTTCACGTCAGTCCAAAATAAACCTTAAGTTTAAAATTTAATGTTTTTTTCTTTATCCGTTTTTGAGTTTTCTTCAAAATTCGAAATTTAAACATTTTCTCAAATATCACGAATACGGTCCATTTTAGAGAAATTATGTATAGAATAAAAATTATAGAGAATTATATTACAAACAACTTTTATTTGAACAATTTTTATAAAAAATATTTTTTTTTACATTTTGTCAAATTTCTCGAATACGGACCATTTTAGGAAAATTTTGCATAGAACAAAAATTATAGATAATTATATTAGAAGTAACTTTTATTTGAAGAAATTTCTTCTCCAAACGTAAATAACAGATATATTCCATAAAATATAAAAATGACCACCCATAAAGTACCCCCCCAGATGTTCCGACTCTGCTCAAAATCTAATCAGCTCATTGGACGCTGAAACAAAGCTTAATTTTAAAATTTGGTGTTTTTCTGTGTATCGGTTCATGAGTTATGCGTTATACAGACACACACACACACACACACACACACACACACACACACACACACACACACACACACACACACACACACACACACACACACACACACACACACACACACACACACACACACACACACACACACACACACACACACACACACACACACACACACACACACACACACACACACACACACACACACACACACACACACACACACACACACACACACACACACACACACACACACACACACACACACACACACACACACACACACACACACACACACACACACACACACACACACACACACACACACACACACACACACACACACACACACACACACACACACACACACACACACACACACACACACACACACACACACACACACACACACACACACACACACACACACACACACACACACACACACACACACACACACACACACACACACACACACACACACACACACACACACACACACACACACACACACACACACACACACACACACACACACACACACACACACACACACACACACACACACACACACACACACACACACACACACACACACACACACACACACACACACACACACACACACACACACACACACACACACACACACACACACACACACACACACACACACACACACACACACACACACACACACACACACACACACACACACACACACACACACACACACACACACACACACACACACACACACACACACACACACACACACACACACACACACACACACACACACACACACACACACACACACACACACACACACACACACACACACACACACACACACACACACACACACACACACACACACACACACACACACACACACACACACACACACACACACACACACACACACACACACACACACACACACACACACACACACACACACACACACACACACACACACACACACACACACACACACACACACACACACACACACACACACACACACACACACACACACACACACACACACACACACACACACACACACACACACACACACACACACACACACACACACACACACACACACACACACACACACACACACACACACACACACACACACACACACACACACACACACACACACACACACACACACACACACACACACACACACACACACACACACACACACACACACACACACACACACACACACACACACACACACACACACACACACACACACACACACACACACACACACACACACACACACACACACACACACACACACACACACACACACACACACACACACACACACACACACACACACACACACACACACACACACACACACACACACACACACACACACACACACACACACACACACACACACACACACACACACACACACACACACACACACACACACACACACACACACACACACACACACACACACACACACACACACACACACACACACACACACACACACACACACACACACACACACACACACACACACACACACACACACACACACACACACACACACACACACACACACACACACACACACACACACACACACACACACACACACACACACACACACACACACACACACACACACACACACACACACACACACACACACACACACACACACACACACACACACACACACACACACACACACACACACACACACACACACACACACACACACACACACACACACACACACACACACACACACACACACACACACACACACACACACACACACACACACACACACACACACACACACACACACACACACACACACACACAGACATCATCGCGAAAATAGTCAAAACGGATTCAGGGGACCTCAAAACGTAAAAATCCGTCGAAAACTCGAGGTCGAAAAAAATCATGATTCCTATACTTTCCTTATATCTGTATACAGATAGGAAAGTAAAAAGTGAAAAGGTCAGTGACATACTTACATATTTTTTGTTAAACATTTTTAAAATGCTCGTTTTCAGGCATGCCTATTTTTTTTTGTTTTACACCCTTTGGATCCCCCATGCTATCACCCTAATCCGTCTGGAGGCACTGTAGCCTGTGGCGTATTGTATCACCATTTGAAGTCCCTACTACTACTTTCTCATACACCAAATCACACCCTCATTCATTCCACATTGTTGATGGTTAAATGCTAGTCTAAGTACCATGGTGGAACTTCTCAGTGGCTACCCATCCACAACTTAACTAAGGAGATTACTGTTTAACTTTTGCAAGAATGTGGATGTACACTAGCCTCTCCGTATTTATTTTTAAAAAATTTTAAAGCGTTCTTTTGCATGCACGCCTATGTTAAACTTATTTACATCTTTTTATTGCTAAAATATTTGCTTTTTGGGTTCATTGTATAACTAAAGTTTCATTCTAATCGTATCAAAAATATTAAAAAAAAACAAAAAAATTAACTCCATGTATTTTTGAAGAAAAGCACCCAAGTTGATAGGAACTATTTGTTTTATTTTTGGGTAAGGAATCACACCCGAAGTGGTGGCACATGTTTTTTTGAAACACTCTGTATAGTTAAATAAAACAAAAACATAATGATATTAGAATAGTATCCAGGTAGATTAATCTTGCAACAAAGTGAATTTTTTCAAATGTAGGCTTAAAGGTTCACAATTTATTACTTAATAAGAGAAAAACATTTAAAATAGAGATATTAAAATAGTATATTATGCAACGATCATGTAATGATGGTTATTAATACACGAGCATTAACCGGGATACGAAACGAGCCAAAGGCGAGTTTCGTATGGTTTATGCGAGTGTTTTAATAACCATTACATGAGAGTTGCATACGCTATTTTTTCTACACCCGATAAATAATCAAGACCTATAAATATTCTATTTATATTGGCATTGAACACAATAACAGTAATTACTCGTATTTCTATAAAAAATTCTACAAAATTGTAATTAATGGTATTACCTTGAGTATTGGTATTACCACAGATTTTTGGGGCAAAATATTTTGTACTGCATTTTCTCCTTTCTCCGATATGTGTGGAGGAGTCTTCTATATCGCTGATATCAGAC